GGTGTGCTGGCAGTGAGTACCGCACCCCCCCCCCCCGCGGCTACCACTGCACACCGCAGCCATGTCGCGGACAATTCTACCAGGGGGGGCAGTCCATCGACTACTCCCGACTCTTCTCCTCATGATTTAGGACGTGGTCATCGTCCTAGGCATCCTCCGAATTGGCACAAGGATTATGTCGCACATGCTATTTCTAGTCCATCTATCTCCTCCCGTTTACCGTCTACTCCATGCTCCTCAGGTACTCCCTATCCTTTAGCACATTTTGTGAATTGTGATAAATTTTCTATGCGACATCATGTTTTTATTGCAGTTGTGGATCCTGTGGTAGAACCCCGTAATTTCAAGGAGGCTATGAAAAATGTAGGGTGGAGAGAGGCAATGCAAAAAGAAATATCTGCTTTAGAAAATAATCAAACATGGGTAATGGAGAAATTACCTCCAGGGAAGAAAGCTCTTGGGTGCCGATGGGTGTACAAGATCAAGCTTAATTCTGATGGCTCTATTGAGAGATTGAAAGCTCGCTTTGTTATTTTTGGTAACCATCAGGTCGAGGGTATTGATTATAATGATACATTTGCTCCTGTTGCTAAAATGACCACTGTTCGGGCTGTTCTTGCTGTTGCTGCTGCGAAAAATTGGGAATTGCATCAAATGGACGTTCACAATGCTTTTCTCCATGGTGACCTTGATGAGGAGGTTTATATGACACCTCCGCCTGGTTTTCATGGTTCTCAACCAGGTTTGGTGTGTCGTCTTCGCAAGTCTTTGTATGGTCTTCGGCAGACACCTCGTTGTTGGTTCTCTAAATTGGCTACTTCTCTGAAAAGGTACGGTTTTGTACAATCGTACTCTAATTACTCTCTCTTTACTCTTCAATCTGGGTCTATTCAACTTACTGTTCTGGTGTATGTTGATGATTTGATAATTTCTGGAAATAATTCTTCTGCGATTTCTTCTTTCAAGTCATATTTGAGTGACTGCTTTCACATGAAAGATCTGGGTGTTTTGAAGTATTTTCTAGGTGTTGAGGTTGCGCGAAGTCCGGAGGGCATATTCTTATGCCAACGGAAATATACACTTGATATCATTGCAGAGTCTGGTTTACTTGGGGCACGCCCGGCAAGTACTCCCATTGAGCAGAATCATACTCTGGCTAAATTAGAATCTCCTTTTATTTCTGATCCTGAGATGTATCGACGTCTTGTGGGTCGTTTGATTTATTTGTCTTTTACTCGACCTGATCTAGCTTATGCGGTGCATATTTTTTCTCAATTTATGCAACAACCGCGACAGGACCACTGGGAGGCCGCTCTCCGTACGGTGCGATACTTGAAAGGATGTCCGGGTCAGGGAATCCTTTTGAGTTCATATTGTGATTTGCATATTACAGGATGGTGTGATTCGGACTGGGCAGGTTGTCCCTTGTCGCGTCGATCTATTTCTGGATGGTTGGTGTTTCTTGGTGCTTCTCCTGTATCTTGGAAGACTAAGAAGCAGGACACTGTGGCCAAGTCTTCTTCAGTGTCCGAATTCCGCTCAATGTCTAAAACTACTGATGAGCTGAAATGGTTAAAGGCTCTTCTTCTAAGTTTGGGTGTCTCACATCCCCGTGCAATGAGTTTGTTTTGTGATAATCAATCTGCTTTGTATATTGCGCAGAATCCGGTTTTCTATGAGCGTACAAAGCATATTGAAGTGGATTGTTATTATCTTCGTGATGCAATTCAGGATGGTATAATTAGTCCGTCTTATGTGAAGACGACGGACCAATTAGCGGATATGTTCACAAAGGCTTTGAGTAAAAGTCAATTCATGTACTTACTTGGCAAGTTGGGCATTTGTGATTTGCATGCTCCAACTTGAGGGGGGGTATTAGGCCATATTGTATGTATAGCTATTGGGCCGATGATAGATTACGAGCCCTAATCTCTTTCTAGGTTGTATATATACTTGTGCATATGCTAATACAACACACACTACTCTATTCTCTCTATACTCAATATTATTGACAGATATCCTTGGTTAAAATTTCACATTGATAAATATAGTGGTCAAATTGGAGCGTTTATTTTGAAATAGATTGAGGGAGTACAAATATACACACTGTTTGGTTTATCATTAATCATTAAGGTGAGTAAGATATATGAATTATGTGAAAGACTTACAAGACAGACAAATACATTATTGGGCGCACCAAATCTAATGTCTATACATAATTAGCATGCACTGATTGGGGTCTTGCCAACACGAAATAAACTATATTAGCATACTTAACAATAAACAATTTGATTTGTGAACACATTTTATTTTTTAAATTAATATGATGAAGGTTTTCCTAATTCAATAAAAAAACACTAATAGTGACTAAAAAAAAGTGAGAAGATATATCTTACACTCGATCACCACTAACATATAAGTGGAAGAGTGATAATACAAGTCTCTTCTTTTAGAATTTAGCTATTTAAAAATATAATTTTATAGAACACACATAATATCTTGTTTGTTCGAATATCATAGAGGACCAACTTGCTATTTTATTTTTGCTATCTTCCTCCTTTTCTATGATTGCTTTATTTCCATGTATGAAGATTTAAGTCTTAGCTTGCTCGATCTCTTTACCTGATATGAGTATTGAGTAATATCCACTGAATAAAATTATTAGTTATATTCAATTAAATTAAGTTATTGTGGAGTAATTCACTATCGCATCATATTAAAAATTATTGATTTTTCCTTATTAAAAAAAATGATTTAATTAGGGTCTGTTCTTATTAACTGAACTGAGCTGAGCTGAACTGAAATGAACTAATTAGAGCTAAATTGAACTGAACTTATTAAAACTGAACTGAAAATAATTGTATCAGAACAGACCCTTATTGTTATTGAACAGAAATTATGTAACATTTTTTTTTTGGTTAAAAGAACAAGGTTTTAGACCTTTAGTGAATAAGACGTTTATTTCTACATATTGTGAAAATTCTAGTGAAACATTTGACACCAATTAATCAATTTTACAAAAATAAAATAATAATAATAAAAAACGCTAAAGATAAGACTAAAAGAGTATCATAATGAATTCCTATGCCTAAGAAAATACAAATAGACTGATAATTCCAAATATGTTAACATCCTGAAGGTACGTACGCAGTCCCAAACTTGTCTTCCTAAGTTAGCTTAATTGCACATCTTTTTATTTATTTATATATTATTTTTGGTAATTATTTTAAGGAAAATGCTATACATAGCCCTAAGGGCTACATATAAGCATTTAATTTACTCTTGAAAATTGTTTAAATTAGAAAATCATGACAAAAACACACTAATTACACCGATTTACACGTGTTTTTGTCATGAATTTCTAACTTTATACATTTTCCAAGAGTAAATTCAATGCTTATAAGGGCTACGTATAGCATTACCCTTATTTTAAACTTTTTTTTTTTTGGCATAGTTGCACCACTTGCACAATTGCACTTGACTCTGAAGTACAAAGTACATTTACAACAGCTAATCCAACAATAAATGACATACGCGCTACATTTTCATCCGCTCAAAAAAGGATTAATCAAGTGGATATTTTTTTTCATTGAAAAAAAAGTATTCTCTATTTATAGCAATAAATAGTGACATGTAAAAAAACCAGAAAATTAAACTTGAACCGGAAAATTCGAATAATAATAATAATAATAATAATAATAATAATAATAATAATGTGAGTAACCAAATGGAATCATTAAATTACGTTTGTAGAAAGTGCATATAATTGACCTGAACTACAGGTTTATATAGTTGGTCGAAATCACAGACATGCAATTGTAAATACAACTGTATCTTTTTATTGGAGAACAAAATTATTATTATTATTATTATTATTATTATTATTATTATTATTATAGGCCCTTTTCATGCATGTCATCATATGCAAGTTGTAAGGGATACCCTAATCAAATTAACATATGTAAATTGTGTATTTTGTAAGTACCGTGTTTAAGCAAAGATGGGACTGATCGAACTCAATAATTGAAATTTTGAATTGAATAAGCATGCATGAAAGTTTTAGATATGGTTTCAAGTTGAAAAAAATTCGATCTTAATTACTTGAAATGCATTAACAACAAGAATGTTACCAATCCAAAAAAAATCAAATCACACTTGTATTGTAATCCATATAAAATTCTTATAAGAGTAATTGGAAATAATAAGAGTAATTTCTATATCTTATAATGTGGAATCATCTCCTCTCTTTCTTAAATATGGAACACTCACAACTGAGCTACACTAGATTTCAATAATGTTTGTAAAAATACTTGTAAATAAAATACTTCGTAAATTAAGCATATCAAATAAAAACACCTTTAAAAAAATACGTTAATATCGTAATTGCTTACTTTATATTAAAACATTCATAACTTGCTTGTTAAAAAAAAAAAAATCATAATTAAGAGCTCTGATTTACTAAACTGAACCGAACTGATTGGAGCTAAACTGAATTGAACTGAACTGACCTGAATAGAGCTGAAATGAATATTTTTTAAAGAGAAGGAAATTAGGAACTGAACTAATTGGAACTGAACTAAACTGTACCGAACTGAACTGAAATTTAGTTGAAGAGAACATATCCTAATAAATATATGAAGTAATCAAGAGTGTTGAAGAAACCGAAAAAAAAGTGTGTATTTGTGTGCGGCCACTTGTAAAATAACAAAGTAACCTTTATAACACTGATTTGGTAACCCCTATAATAATGATCAAGTAACTCCGAACTAACCCCTGTCAAACTGAACGAGTAACCCCTATAACACTTTATGATGGAGATGACCATACCGTATAGTCAGCCGCATAAAATTTTTTGAGTCTGTTCTCATATGATTATTTTCAGTTCAGTTCAATTTAGTTATAATAAGTTCGGTTTAGTTCAACTCATAATTTTTTTCTCTTATAAAATATTCATTGCAGTTCAGTTCAATTCTAATAAGTTCAATTCAGTTTAGCTCTAATAAGTTCAGTTCAGCTCAGTTTAATCAATAAGAACAGAGCCAAAATTGCAGATAACTATTAACGGAGTTAATACTTAAAAAAAAAAAAAAAAAAACTTGAAGTGTATATATCTCGAAACTGTTACATTAAAATCAGTCATTATTAAAAAAGAGAAAAAAAAAAAAAAGAAAAAAGAAAAAGTCATAACAAGTACCAACGCGCCTATTAAATATCCATCTGTAAACACGTGGCATGAAGCTAGTTTGAATGGTCGGCACCCACCCAACTATTTACAACTAGCTCTGCGCTTCATTTCTCACTCACTCCTTCTCTTCTTCTATAAATATCTCTTTTCTCGTTCCTTCTTCCCATTTCAAACTTCACCAATAATCCAACTACATACAATTTAATCATTTTCAAAACCCCAAAAAAAAGAAAAAAACAATTAAAAACTAAATATCATGGTTCTATTTCTCAAGGCTAAATCTTGTACCAGAGTTACCGATGAAAAACGGTGTTTAGAAGATTGCAAGGAATACATTTACAAGGCCGATAACGGTAACGATAAGGATAAGGATGGTGGAGCATCATCAACTACATGTACGTTTTTAACTGTTTGGAGGAAGTCACTTTTGATGAGTTGTAGTGGTTTTACTGTGATTGATTCTACTGGTAATTTAATTTACCGTGTTGATAATTACCGTGGGAGACCTGGTGAAATTGTTCTTATGGATGCTTCTGGAACATCTATTTTCACTACGCGTCGTCATAAGGTATTTTTTTATTATTATACTTCCTCCGTTTCAAAATAATCTGTAATTAGTGTTTAAATTATTACTCCTATTATTATTATAATAAGGTTGTGGATGTAGTGTATGAAAGAGAATGAATATAGTGGTGAGGTTGTTAACTGTCGATAAAAACACGAATTCTTATAGTGGTTCTAGGGTAGGCTATATTTGGACTTTGAAAGAGTTTTATGGATTTACATTACCATCTTTCCTACTCATGTATAGTTTGCATTATTGTATGTAACCTAGATATTCTATAGGATTTATTCTTTAATTAACCTAATTGTTTCGAGATATTTAATATATTTACAATTAAATTTTTGTATTAGTAAATGCGTCGAATATGAAAATGTGGCAAAACGGGTAAAAAAAATGGTGTTTGGTCGAAAACTAATTTTGATTTACCCTTATTAAAGCCTACAACCAAGCCAAACACCAAAATAAGCATTATTTTGAGGGGCCACTATGCAATTATGCATTTATCACTGTTCAACCTCATGCTTACAAGTTAGTACTTCTAAATGGCTATTATGACTTTGTTGCCGACTTTGTAACATAATCATTCCAAAGAAGCAACTCAAGCAAACTTGTTCCACGGAGCACATGTTAGATTTTGAGTATGTGGCGGTTGAATTTTACATGGTAACGTTAGTCCTTATCTCGCGTACCTTACCTGAAATCAAATCTCGTCTATTACAAAATGTTAACTGTTTAAATTTATTTCGATGTAAATGAAGATCTGAAATCAAATCTTGTCTATATTATTTACCATTTTTTTACAGCTATTCGTTCCATTACAAGAATTACAAAGTAAATATAGTTTTATCTTAATTATTCGTTTATTGTACTACGTAACGCATTTGAGATAGGTGGAAAGAATAAGACCTTTGAGTAATTAGTTTCGGTCCACAGGATGCATACTCGTCTATAGTTGGCTCTCTAGAAATGGATAAGAAAGAACATATTCTACGTATCTAAGAGAACAAGTTTTAAATTGTTTTGATGAACTCTTAGATTTTTTATTATTTGCATAATTTATACTAATACGCATTCTAATCAAAATTATTCTTTGATGAACAGACGATACGACTAGTGGACGATTGGCTAGTATACAAGGGTGATGCTAGTGATCATCACAATTCCAAAACATTCCAAAAAAAGCAGCCTATTTGTTACGTGAGGAAGAATGTTAGCTTACTACTTGCAAATTCCAATGTACTTGCACATGTTTTCCTAGGGGCAACAACTAAAAATCCTATATATGTCATTGAAGGCTCTTACGCGCAAAGGTCGTGTAAGATCATCGACAAATCCTCGAAAAAAGTTGTGGCGGAGATCAAGAGGAAGGAGGCCGCTAATGGGCGTGCTTCCTTTGGTCTCGAGGTTTTTCACTTGGTTGTATATCCAGGATTCAATTCTGGGTTTGCGATGACCTTGGTGTTGTTGCTGGATCAGATGTTTAGTTAAGAAAAACACCAAATGTCTCTCTTTTAATTGTTGTTCTTGAATGCCCCTCTGGTTTTTCCTGCCAAGACGAGGGCTGATTCCCCTGTTGTCTTAACAAAGTGGGATTGTAAAACTAATCGATGTAATCAGTCGCTAACCTGTTAACTGACCGCGATAGCTGAAGCTTCTTCAGCTAAGTATAAATATATGGAAAATGCTTTTTACTTGCATATGAAATTTATGATTTCTGTACGTGTTTTGGGATGCTAATTGTTAGACTCTGGCATCTTTAATACTACTAGTCAAGTATTAAGAGTGCATATGAGCTAGTTTAACTCAACAAGTCACAAATGACTACTAGAAGCCGGTTTATCGATTGATCTCAAAGATTTAGACTAGACTCCTAGTGCCTCTCTAGTCTGTATGGAGCTCCCCTTCAGCCCTTCCCCGAAACCTGGCCATCCTCAAAACATGTTGATTGCAAAAGGATCTCCCGATTTTTTACTACCAACTCTTGCAGGCAAGTTTCAATGTGTGTCGGGCTAGTAAATTTATGACGGATCTGGTTCAATGTGATCAGTTTACCAGGTTACCTTGTAAACATGAAAATTAAATAAAAAAACGTGTGCATCAATTTATATACAAGTAAATAACCACACTCAAGTCAGTTTGCTGAAAGCAAGACATTTTGAGAGGCAAATGCATTGTTTCCTGCTTCCTTAAAATGACAGATTTTTTTTGCTTACAGTAACACTTTGAGCTTATACATCCATTTTGTATCACAATGAGACCGTCTCATACAAGACTTATCCATTTAGTGGAGTAGACGGGTTGGAAATTTCAAAAATTATCCAGTGTGGCTGAAAAAGCCTATTTACAGAAAGATCAGACATCAACAATTTAGTTATTCAATATAGCACCTGATCAGTTATAATGCTTGCAATTCTGCACATAGGTAACTAATGATAGATTAAAAATGGCAACAGACAGGAAAGAGGGAACTGAAATTACAATTGCCTCATGGAATGGCTCTGTACAAGGCAAAGAATACCCCCAGAAAATGGAACCTCTAAAATCAACAGCTTATAATGTTACAACACTGGAATTTTGGGCCTCACTTCAAGGAGGACTCCCACCATCAAAATCCTGAGCTACACATAAACAACAATATATACAAACTAACATGTTCAGCTAAATTTCATATGCAGTCATAACTTCACAACAGATCTTGGTATTACAGCGCACAACTTCCCGATGGAAGCTGCTAGGTTCAGTCAAGCTAGCTTCTTGTCCTGTTCCAATCCATTGGCGAAACTTTTCTCAACTTCTGTGGGTTGTGATTACTCCTATCCAAAACCCTTGGAGGAGGAGGAGGAGGGGGAGCCATAAATTGTGGTTTCACAAAGTTGTTTCTAGCTTCTGTAACAGAATCCCTAGACAATCTGCTTGGGGATGTTCTGTTTGATCTTGGAGCAGAAACAGAACTCAGTCCTATAACTGCATGAATGTGACTAAATTCTTCTCGCCGTTCAACCACAGAGATTTTCGGCTTTTTTGAAGAAGATCCATACTCTATGCTCTTGACTACATGACTGACTAATGTCTCTAACTTGGGTGTCATAAACTCCTCGGGTTTTTCACTCGATCTTGACTTGCGAGCTTTCATGGATTTTTGGGATGGTTGTTTTGGCCATTTCAACATTCCGTTAGAAATCCTATTTGAGCTATCACTTGCAATGTCACAAAGCGTCCGAGCAGCAGCCAATACTCTGGGAGAATGCAGTGCTGCCAACAAGAACCAAACAATGATGAGAAGAGAAGCAACTGCACAACGGAGTAATTTTACTGATGGAAAACCAAAGTTGGGTAACCAATCATCTACATTTTTTGAAGGTATTGAGCAGGTTTCCACTAAAAAAAAAGGTATTGAACAGGCAGCACAATACTTGCTCATAACTAAGAACTTGTAAAATTGATATCAAATTTGAAAAGGGTCTGAATATTTGAAGCATGGCACATGGCTCACACCACAAGCCTATATGCTGTAGGCCTGACAAGGATTTATACAGGTGAAGAGTTGAAGCATATATCTTAAGAGTGATGAAAATAATCATGCTTTTTAATCAATAGCCACATACCACTAATCTTGGAGTGCACATTGCTTCCAGATTCTACATCAACCCCAAACACTAAACACAGTGTAAATTTAATTAAAAAAGAGAAAAGAAGCGATGAATCCAAAAGGGCAATTCCACTTCCAAAAAACATTACGAGAGCTAGATTCTTACCAGAGGGTGGCAGACATGCTGTTGGACATGCAGCCGATGAAGAATTCTGCTGACAGCACAGTTGATTGACAGGTGCGGATGAACTTCTTTCGATTTCGGGAAGTTTGTACATTAATTGTCCTGCTGGAACAAGACTACTATCATAAGTGAGCGAGTCCAAGTCCACAAAAGCTTCATTGCCCCCTCCAATAAAACTGGCAGTGCTCCTTATCCTTACCCATCTACCTTGGCATGAGCTTTTATTCGATAATCTTACAGCATCATTATTAGATTTATGGTGCCCGTTAAAATTATGGGACCAGGGGAAAGGCGGCAAGCTAACTCGATGAGATAATGTCTTGCCATTACGTGAATCATTAAGCTTTGAGGATACCACTGGCTTCACTGCATCTTGCAACAAAGAGTCCAAATCCTTTGGTGGAGGAAGTGCCAACCTTTCCAAAATATCTCTAGGTTGATACGATGGAGAATCCTTTTTGTCAGCAGGAGATTCAGCCTTTATAGACGATTCCAGATCCTGAAGAAAAAGAGCATGGTAATTAATGCATAAGGATGAAAAGGGTGACCACTGCCAAGTACAAATAAGCCATATTGTTACCATGATGTTTGCGCATCATCTATTTCAGCTGGGGATTAAGGACTAAGAAAAAAATGATATTCTCCCCCATGGATAACTAATTGCTCTTTTAACCTTAAAATATAGTTGTAAAAATCATGTTTAGACATATTTATTAAGAAAACTAAAATAAAAGCTTTCAGTAGCTACGTACCTTTTCACACTTGGGTAAACCTGCAGTAAGACTACACTCATCACCATCTGAACCATTTAACGAACTTGTGTTAGAAGGAGACGATGACAAAGGGATTTTCTTGTTGGTCTCGATATCCATCTCTTCTGCTTGTTTGGCTTGTTGCACCCCTGGAAGCCGAATGACAGAACAAGCCTTTTTAACAGAATCCAGTATATTCTCTGCCAGATTAGCTACTTTCTTCCCTTTATCTTTGCCAAGATTAGGACATTTATAGGTTCCATCAAGGAGTTTATCCAAAGAAATGTCATCCAAAAGTTTTGAGACATCATGTACATCTGGCTTGAGACCATAAATTCCTGCAAACAAATGTCAAAGGAGCATCCAAGTAAATATGCTAATACACATACATAGCAAGCAACAAACAAAAAGGCTCTGCAAGTATAAAAGCTTTACTTTAAAGACAGCCAGAACTTGACCAAAAAATTAACCGTAATAACTGAGAGCATTTCCAGATTGATGTCATCCATTTTGAACAACCATCAACTAGAATGTCCTACTAATAATAATGACTCGTTTGGTAAAAAAAAAAAAAAAAAAAAAAAGGTGCCACACAAAGTTTTACTTATTCCAGGGTAATTCGTTCAAACAGGATACAATCAAGGCTAAGAAACAATACACTACAAACAAGTCATATATAAATAGATTTTCTTCAAGTTAGGAAATGTCATGCTAAGACAAGGCTTTAGAGGGTTATAGAAGAGAATTACGAAGTATTAAGAAAGCACACAAATACATGCCACCCTCAGAAAAATCTTTTTAGCTGGAGGTGATGGAAGATCCAAACCTCAGAAATTTTTTAGCAATCTCACAATAGAGATACCAGTTTCATACCAAAAACATTGCTTCCTCCACTTGTGGGACTGAAGTTTGTCAAGCCAACTTTCAGCGAAAATGGATCAAATTTTGCCTTCAGTGGAACTTTAGAACTTCTTCTATCACCCCTTCTGCCATTTATATTGTTCTTTTGTTTAACTGTCTGAGATTTGTCTACTGTAAAATAAATATGAACCGATATCAGTCAAACTACAAGAACATCATTGAGACAAGGAATAAGCTTACAAAAAAACTTGAATCTCAATCTTCATATGCCATAAATAAATTAAAACAGTAGACATCAGATTCATGCTAACTATTTTCCACACCAAACATAGTCAAGGAAAGAACAACCGGCCGTTGACTGTTTATCAGTTGACTTCACAGCAATGATAATTGATAATTGCTATCTTGCTGCACAACACACCAAGCTCTAGAAAAAAAAGAAGAAAAAAAAAAGGAATACAACACAGATGACTTGCCTTAACCTACATCCCCTCAAGAACCTTTTAAAGACATTATGGGCACATCTTTTCTATTGCTTGCAATAGTCTAATCTCCAACCTAGCTGCATACGAATCATCTATATTTTACTCACTAATAATTTAATCAACTAGATCAATGATGGTACAACATATCTAAACATCAAGAAAAAGCTGGAACCAGCTCAAAGAGAAACTAAATAGAGAGTATATTGAAGCCTCATCTAACACAAACACTAAGCTTGACTTGAACAAAAACAAGTCTTTTTTTGAGATCCTATATAATACAGCCAGAATAAGGCACACTCACTTGACAAGAATAAATGAGACTATTGATGGAGTTTGAGCAATGGATGAAGAAGCAATGCAGGATCATCAAATATAGCAGAAAACAGTTACTAATATTTTCGCCCCAATCCGTCAATCTCAAAAAAATAACCAAGTCAAAGATCGATATTCTTTGTAGCTCGATATTCTTAGTTTGCTGCTAAGAAGGGCACATGCTCTTTGAAAAATTTATCTTAATCTTGAAACCAACTGATTCAAAATAAAAACCCAATCGGATTACGTACCAATAGAGATGTTGAGTAACTATGTCACACTACAAATGTTTGACAAGAAATCATACAAATCATATATAAAGAGATTATGTTATAAAATTATATCAACAAAATGGCCAAAATGAAATGTAACTTTGTTTAAATTTTGGAAATGGAGAGAAACAGAGGGAAGGGAACAACTTCCCTCATTTGGATAGAAGGTTAGGGAAGGAAAGGGAGGGAGAGATCCACCTTTCCTTCTTAAACAAACATCCAATTTGAAGAAATCTGGTGGA